CAGGGAGCCCGATGCGGGACTCGATCCAGGGACTCCAGGATCAGGACCTGAGCCGAAGGCAGTCGCTTAACCAACTGAGCCACCCAGGCGCCCGAAAAGTAACTTTTTTTAAACTATAAAAATAATTTATGCTTGTGGAGAATTTGGAAATGCTTGTGATGTAAGTATAAAAACAGCATATTAAGCTGTTCTCTACAGTATGAATCCAATTTTGGTTTAAAATGTAATTTACACACATGTCCACCTAGTACGAAAATGAATGCTGTTTTTTCTTTATACTTTCTGTGTATTTTATAATAGAAAAAATACTCTTAAAGGAAAAAAACAAAAATATAAAGAATCAGGAAAGAAATTGCCTGTTATTCCATCAAGTAGTACAACTGTAGTTCTGATTTTGTACATTTTATGGAGGACATTCAGAATTTTAGGTCATATTTTATTTTTTTAATGTTTAAATATTTAGTAATCTCTACCCTTAATGTGAGACTTTAACTCACGACCCCCAAGATCAGGAGTCCCATGCTCTTCTGACTGAGCCAGCCAGGTGCCCCAGGCCATATTTTAAAATGTATTTGTTTAAAAAAAATGTATTTGTTAGCCTTTTAAGATACAGAAGAGAAAAAGATTTCATTTTCTTATAATTTAGAAAACTCCAGCCTAAAAAACTTCCTGGGAAGGTATAAATCCTAAATTATAGCCTAAAATCTCATGGTAAAATCTTAGAGTAGAAAGTTTAAAGGATAAGCTTGGTATTTCAGTTCCAGAATTTTCATCCCTGAGGAGTTTCTACAAAAATCCAGATAATTTAGGAATACCAAGATGGATCTTGGTGGCAATCCAGAGTTTTTCCTCTAAACTTGCTCATTGTAGATATAATGAACACCAGGGGGCGCTATCTACCCTTGCCAGTGATTTCTAGGCACTGCTGATTATGACTAATAGAAGCACAGTAGGGGGTGCCTTCCTGGCGGGTTGCAGGTTTATCACTTAGTGTTCATGTACCTAACCTTGGGAACTTTCCAGCAGGTGCTTGGGTCTTAGCGTTCATTAAATTCCTTTAATTCTTTAACATGCTTCAAGTATATTTGGGTTCCAGTTTTGGGATTCAGAGTGGCTGGCTATTGTAAAAGAAGAGAGAAAACATCATCAGTGAACTTCCTTTAAGAGTGTTTTTATATTTGCTTTGAAACAAACTCTTTTGTGGCTTGACGAAAGCCAGTGATGGGTTTGAGAATCCAGCTTTTTCTTTCCTTTGATCTATAGCTATTTGAACAGACTGATTGGTATATACGAAAGGAGATTAATGTATTAAACAGAACATGGGAATTAAAACCCAAGAAAGGAGTTTATGTTATGCTTTTGGTTAATCTCAGGAACCTTCAATCTTAGTGGCAGGACTCACTGGGGAGCGAAGACTTTTTTCTTCAGTGTAGAAATTATTAAGCTCTGTTACCCATTTGCTTGACTTTCATTTGTGTTCTAGCCAAATCCAGTATTGTGCCTCTTGTTAGATATTGGCTCTCTTGGGGGATGTCAGGAGTATACACCTCTTTCTACTTAACCCCTTTACTGCATCAGAGAAAGTGTAACTACAAGAGCTGAAACATTTTATGGGGTGCCGTAGGGCGTATTCCTGTTTGAGATCAAGAGAACATTGAAACTAAAAATGTTGTTTCGTTCTAATATGGTGAAAGGTGGATATTTTTCTGTGTCTTACAGTTCAGAATTTAGGCCACCCATATTGGCTTACCTTGGCTCCAATGTATATTTGGTTTATAATTTTCTTCATCCAGCCTCACAAAGAGGAGAGATTTCTTTTCCCTGTATATCCACTTATATGTCTCTGTGGTGCTGTGGCCCTCTCTGCACTTCAGGTGAGTTTCAGGGAAACGCATATCTTCTTCGTTCCATTTCACTTTCTAAATTGGTCAAGAAGCTTAAAGGCATATTACAGAATGCTTCCCCCAAGATATTTTATCCATGCGTTAAACTTGATACAGATCATATTATTAAAGCTTTATGTATTGATTGCTTGGCTGTTGATCATACTCTTAAGCTGGTTACATATTTGCACTGTTAATTTGTGTGTTAATTTCTTTCTATTGCCAACAAGAATCCACTTGATGTTAAAGGAGTTTTATTAAGTCATTGTATAGGCCTACCACAGGATGGTGGCATCACAGCAGAGCTACTGGAATGTTTGCTCTTCAACTCCGAGGTCAGATTAAAACTTGCTCAAGTGTTTGGAATAACATCAGGCATTTAGCAATATGGGACACTTTGTAATCCTGTCTTAAAACCTGTCCAGGTCAATTCCTTGTCAGAACTAATCTTGAATATCTTTCTGTCTCTGGCCTCAGAAGCCTCCAGGCTCTTTTTTTGACCTCTGCTACCATTTGCAACTGGCAGTAAAGAGTAATTAGGGTGACAGTTTAGAGATATAATTCACCCATTTAAAAAGTGTAAAAAATTAAATGGTTTCTAGTATATTCACACATATGTGTAACCAACACCACAGTGAACTTTAGAATATTACCACCTCAAAAGCCCTGTACCCCTTAGCTGTTATCACCACCCCCCTCTTCATATCTCCCCAGCCATAAGCAACTACTAATCTATTTTCTGTCTCTGTAGATTTGCCCATTCTAGGCATTCCATGTAAATGGAGTCCTAAAGTACGTGGTCTTCTGTGACTGGCTTCTTTCATTCAGCATTATGTTTTTAATACTCATCCATATTAGGATGGTAGTTTAAGAAAAATTTTTAAATTATAAAAGTAATTGAACTTTACTGCACGTAATTTTTCATTTACTACTTTTTAAAAAGGATTTGAGAGAGCATGCGCGAGAGTAAGAGCATGTGGGCATGGGGGGAGGGGAGCAGAGGGAGAGAGAAACCCAAGCAGACTCCTTGCTGAGCGTGGAGCCTGATATGAGGCTCAATTCCATGACTCTGACATCACAACCTGAGCCAAAACCAAGTCAGACAATCAACTGTGCCACCCAGGCACCCCACTTTTACTACTTTATAAATTAGCCCTACTATCCTAACAAAACCACCTTGCTTCCAGCATTTTTACCTATCACATACCAAACTTTATTAGGGTTGTAATCTCAATGTACATATAATTTTACATCCCTTTTAATATAACTACAGTAGAGGGCGCCTGGGTGGCTCAGTTGGTTGGGCGACTGCCTTCGGCTCAGGTCATGATCCTGGAGTCCCGGGATCGAGTCCCGCATCGGGCTCCCT